TTTCACATGTAATTCAATATGCTATATGCCATTTCATTGTAATTGTGAAATTTAATAACAATTTCTGAACAAACATTTTTTTATACACCTATTTTTTTTCAGTGTATAAGCACTTTTCCCCCCAAAATACTGTAAGACAAACCTGATAGTTTTATACTAAGTCCACATCCACTCCCTCCACCAAATCCCATCATTCCTTACGTTTAAACAATGGATTGTTGTAGTTGTGTAACTTCTCTCTCAGCCGTGAGAGATTCACTGTGCCTTAAACAAAGAACAATACAGACCTATGAAAAAAAAAATCACTTAACTGTAGACCAATATTGCCAATAAGCCCAAGTTGCCATTTTATTGATATATCATGCATGAAGGGAATAATTTACCACAACACTTCCCTCTGAAATAAATTCTACTTTCCCTCCTATTTCTCATTTTTGTGACAAGCTAAAAAGACTCACAATTACACAGTGTTCTTAAAGGGGCCGTTTGTGGCCTCAGTGAGCTGCAGAATAGAATCTCACAAATATAAATTCAGCATTCGTTTCCTCCCATTGTACTTAATGGTCTGAGGCAACATCAATCACACCTCCTGAAAAGGTCTGGCTCTTCTCACTACTCCCACAGTCATTCCTTAACCACAGTCTGCACCAGCCCATGCTGGACGGTGCCAAGAGCCTGTTAGGAGCTGAAACAAACATTGTACCATCCTGTATAGAGCTGTATCCCAATGAAAAATCCAGAGCGACTTCAAATAGTGTTTTATGTGGTTGTAGTAAAACCACTGAGCATTTAAACACTGAAAACAATGAGAAAGATAATGTATAAAAACACAGATTAGGTTATAGGTTTTTTTTTTTTTAAACGGTAGACTGAATGACACATTTGCCTGATATCAAGCTTTCTTGAGTGGAGGAACAGGTTCAACCACAGTTTTTATATTTGTTTAGTTTTCCTGACACTTATGCTCTAGGACTGTCCTGCTGTCTCATTTACAGACAACTTTCTACCCTTCATACATAATTCATCGGATGGCACAAAGTGCATCCTTTTTTATGTAACACAAACAAGCAAGCCTAAATCAGTCACATCATGCAGGCATTACTGTTACTGGTTAAAGAGATAGTTCACCCATGAAAAGAAAATTCTGTCATCATTTACTCATCCTCATGTCATTCCAAGCCTTTATAGGCCCATATGGAAGCCCGTTTCCGCCACACAATTCTGAGAAAATAATTGCGATATAAAGATTTTTTTTTTTCACTCTGAATTTTGAGTTTACATCTGTTTGTTTTTGTTTCTATAAAAAAATTAAACTACAACTTTTTATCTCACGTTTCAGATTTTTTTCTCACAATTGTGAGTTTATATTTCACAATCCTAAATGTGTTTATTTTCTCAGAATTGCAAAAAAAAAAAAAAAGAGTCTAAATTGTGAGATATTGCCAGGGGAAAAAAAGTATGAAGTGGGATAAAATTTAGCAGTAACCTTTTTTTTATCCCTTGGCAAGCTTCCATACATACGAGGTGATAACTTCGTATGAATTTGTACAATGTGATTCGTACAAAGCCATATGATTTTTAGGAAAAAAGTAAGCATGAAGTTTCACTTCTAAACATAATCATAACTGGGGCGTAAGCAGATTGTACGAAACATTAATAAGAATTAGTCACAGATTTGCCAAAATGTAAAATAGTTATGAATTGCTATGAGATTGTGTGTTTTTGTTCACACAATGTAAGAGTCTATGGACAAAAACACTTAGAGATTTATCTTTTTTATGTGCCACAGAAGAAGGAAAGTCATAAAGATAAAGTGAAGCCATTTCAGGTAGGCCTACAAAAAAACTAAGGTGGATGCCCGCAAGACTTATAAGCACCCTGCTTTAAAATCTAGTTTATGAGGCATTAAACATATTTAACTGCTGTTCTCTCCCTGTTGTTCAAACTTGTCCTGCCTTTTTTCATATGCAGAAGTGCAGCACCCAGTGAAACATATAAATGCATCTTTGTGAAAGGAGGGGCAGACAGAGAGCGTGACACTCTCACTGCTGTGCCAGAGGTCATACAGTATCAACAATCACAAGCTCTGTATCTTCATCAAAGGGGATATACGTAAGAAAACTACGTTCTGCTATAATCCATGGCAGAACATGTTCGAAACCATCTTTATATAAAAGACCTTTGTATTTTTTTTGAATGGTTGTATTATTTGCAGTTTGCATTTGTATAGTTCAGGTTAAAACGAAAAATGTTTTGAGCTTCTCCCACAAGTGGGTTTAGGAAAAAGAGCAGCTTTAAAAATGTATGATATATTGCATCAAAAATATATGTAGTTTACTGCATTGCAACAAATAGATGTCAAGGAATATTGCAACATGCAGTGTAAAAAAGTGCCAAGGGGGACAAAAATATAATACACTGCTAACCAGATTTACCAAGTAAAGAAACGTGGATGCACTGTACACTGTTCACATTTTACAACATCATAGTGCAACATTGCAGGTAATTAGTGATTTATTTATCCATTCCAGTTAAACAGTTAAGATATGGAATGACTTTGCTTGCTACTGCTCAATAGGATGATATAAAAGTGGTTATAGATAAAGATTTTGCGTAGTCAACATGCCTAAACCTACTGACTTACAAAAGGCTTGTCATTCTTTGAATGAGAAAAGGAAACGTTCATTCAACTCCCGCAAGGCAGTACTTTTGTGATGTATTTGTTATTCTTTCTTTTCCACTTTAATGTGGGGTCATTTTTAAACGTGTAGAGTGAAACAACACTAAACAAATAAATAAGTCCAGTTTCAGATGTTTAGTTAGGAAATGTTTACATAACCCTCTCAAACCCTTCCTTTTCCTGCACTCAGCAGGATGCAGCTGAAAGCAGTTTTGCGTCATCGACACACACGACATGCACAGGAGTCTTCAGACAGTAATGTAAAAAAAGATTTCTTTATTTTAAAATAGTACATTCTGGTCACCAAGTCATGCTATTCATTTGTCAAGTAATGTTTTTTGTCTGTATTGGGGACATTTATAGTTCGGGAAATTGCGTAAATTGCAACTTTTTATCTTACAATTTGAGAAAAAAGTCTAAAATTGTAGTAGTATCTAACAATTCAGAATTCTGAGAAAAAAGTTCGAATTGTGAAATGTATATAATATAATAAAATATATAAAAAGAATACATAAAGTCTTATGAAATAAAAAGTCACAGTTACCTTATTTTTTTTCTCTGTGGTGGAGACAAAAACCGAATTGTGAGAAAAACGTCTGAATTATGAGATAAAATGTCCCGATAACTTTTTATTGTTTATGTGTTCCCATATAACAGTAGTTGAATAAATACATTATATAAAATGTAAATAGTCATTGAAACCGAATGAATGTATTTGAATTAGTTGTTTTGACATAATCCATTCATAAAAGATTACTGAAACTACAGTCTTGTTAGAGCAATGTTTCTCCTCTACCTCCTGGCGCTTATAGTGGTTTGTTTTCACTTCTCTTATTTGCACAGATGCTTTCTGGCCTGAGCATCCTTAACCCCCCAAGAGAGCTTTGATAAAAGTCACATTAACCTGCTTGGAGTAGTAGGCAAATCAGGTTTGGCATAACTGTCTTTTCCTTCAGTTTAACTTGCAGTTAACTTTGTCTTTTATCAGTAAGTTCACAACAGTTCACGAGTAAGTACGGTTAAAGTGGATTCATAAAGCTTTATGACTTTCACAGGCCCATAGTTACTTTATGATGTGTAATGTGGCTTTACTGTCAAAACATATAGAGCATACAATAAATTCATCTTTCTGAGGAGTGCACTCATTAACCGGTTAACTACATTAAGGAAGATTTTTTTAGCATGATAATATTAAGCACTCAAAAGCTTAAAGGTGTCCATTTGAGAGGATGGGGGGAGGGTCACACTTAAAAATAAAGCTTCTTTATTGGCACCTATGGTTTCATGAAGAATCTTTAACATTCATGGAATCTTTCCATTAACAAAGAGATAAAAAAAATTTTTCACACTAAGAAAAACATGGTTCTTTTAAGAACTGTTCACTGAAAGGTTCTTTAAGTAACCCAAAATAGTTCTTTGCTGCAAAAACCCCTTTTGGAAAATTTATTTTTAAAAGTGCAAGTGAGAAAAATATTGAAAGAGCGTCCCTGCAAATACTATGTCAAGTGTCTTGGTAACAACTCTCGCATTTATATCTTTATCAGCAACATGGCAGCCTGCCGTGAGAAGGCCAATGATCTCGAGGTATGCTGATATCTGTTACATGTTATAGTAAAGCACAGCAATAAAATAATTGTCTCTGAGGTATTTTCCAGTCCTTTTAAGGGTTAAAATATGTACTAATGTTGGTAATTCAGTTTCCTAGGTTACACAGTTGTTTTCTTCTAGTCATAACTACTCCAGTGATGCATGAATTCAAATCAGCAACTTTGGAAACTACACCCATTTCCTAAGAGTTATGCTGACAGTAAGCCCTGTATATTTTAAGAAATATCCAAAAAGTTACTTTTTTTTTAAATTTTTGTAACATAATATCAACAAGAAAAAAATGTAAATGCAAATTAAATATGGCCAAACTAGCAGTTGGGGTTAGGATTTAGGGGTAGCCCAGGTAAAATATTTTCTAATTTATCTAAAAAAAAAATTATAATTAATTATGATAGTGAAAAACAGCTCCAGAATCTTACACAGAGCTTTATTTTCCGTGGTAGTGAGATACCCACTCCCATCTTCGTCAAATTTAGGTGCAGGATGCGAGCAACATTTCCAGTGTGCTTCAGCGCTAAGGGCTCCCTTTAAATAAACTCCGCCCCGAAATCAGTCGATCAAATTCGGCATCGCACTTCTGAGTCCTCGGCCAATCACCTTCCTCCGGGGGCGGTCCTAGACCGGTGGTCCGGGAAGACGTCATCCAATAGAATCGCGAGCTCCTCAGACTAAAGAGATGCGACAATCATCGCTTACCTTGCGAGCCGCCCATTATTCATGTTCATTCACTAGAGATTTAAGGAGACACGACCGTAAATAGCGGAACTCAAATGAAGACCTAACGGTCTCACGGCTGATGTCTTTGAAAAAAAAAAAGAAAAGAAAACGTCCCGCTGAGCTGTAACGTTTGTTCCAGTGGATTCGTCAGCGCAGTGTTATTGTTTGTATGACAAGTTTGTATATTTTAACCGCACATATATCCAAATGAAGCACTTAATGTACTATATTAATACATTACATGCACTGCTAGTGTATTTGGGATCAGGCTAGATACGAAGTTGTACACTTTTACAATGAAACCAGAATTTTATCTGCCGTTCTGTTGGTTTGCTGTTAGTAAAAACACTTATTTGTCTTTTTATTAACGTATAAATTGCGTCAGGGCAGTAGAAGTGTGCTGCATATTTACTTTGTCGTTCTGACAGGCACACATAAATCCGTTTTGAAAACCCCTTTAAATTGTGACCTCAGCTCCGAGGGAGGTTTAACACGCCCCACTCTCCAAAAAGTGTGTTTCTCATGCATGACTGGCTCATTTGAATCTAGTGAGGGAGAAGACCTCCGTTCCTCTGCGTTATTAGAGCTGATAGTCTCTTATCTCAGCATCCGAGAAACGCTCCCGCTAACCGCACATCATTGGGATCGTGAACGCTGACTCCCCAATGATAGAAGAGGGAAACCCTTTCTGCCTTTGAGGCTATCAGGAAAAAAACGGAGACATACCCGGAGGTTCTCCAGTAGAAGTTCGGAACGAGAGAAAAAGAGATAGAAAGAAAGAATAGTGTTATTATTGTAATTTTTTACCCTACAGATTAGCCAATTTGAAACATCAAAAATGACTAGAAGATCTTGTGCCATTTACGCCACCGGGATCGTGTGCGCTCATTTGCTCATTTTGGGAATCGCCCTTCTGGTGGCTCAAGTCTTCCAAACAATGATTCAGGAACGGATAAAAAAGGTAAGTCTTTTATAAAGTGCTTAATTCTACGGAAAGCTCGTGTTCTGCCATAAAGCCGGTTTTTACAATGATTCAGGGCCAATGTTGTCCTACACGAGGCTTCTGAGCATCTCGCGGAGTTGCTAATATCATTTGATGTAAGCATTGCGAAATCATACAACAAACAAGTCTAAATGCTGTCTTTTAATCTCTTCAGTGGTTCTGTACGTGGGAGACAAGTTCCTGTTCTTGCTCGCGGTGAGACCCAGACTACACAATTTCACGTTACGTAGACTAAAAACCTGTCTTGTGGCCGTTTAATGCCCCCTCTTTAGCGTGTAGGTGTTCAAAACATGATATTAAATTACCGTGATGTAAATGTGGGTTTGTTAGTAACCCTGATTAAAGTGGGCTGGTCGCTGTCTGTGACCACGAAGCCTATCATATTGCGGAAAACACCTTTCCCCCGTCCCTCTCTCTAATCCACCTCAGCAGTGGTGCTGTCTGTCTGCCTGCCTGCGAATGAAATGCTTTCCGGTGCAAAATACCGGAGAGTGAATTCATCCTCTTTAATGTAACGGGAAAGGCTGTTCATTCACAGAGCATGTATATGGCAGGGGGAGGTGTGCTATATGTGTGGTCTGTGGGGGAGGGTCTCAGCCGGTTCTCCTTGGAAAAATACTTGGAATTTTGACCTCCACCCTCAGTATTTTTAACCAAGTGTAGTATTCAGTGTTCAGTGTGATTCCCTTAACCTGGAATTCATGGGTGGGTGTTAGTAGTGGTCTGTGGGAGAAGTCAACTTTGCTGGATGTTGTACCATTTATTGACAGTTGCTTCAAAGCCTTGTAACTGAGCTTATAAACTGTGCAATTTTCATATTCAGTAAGTCAACTGTGGCACTCAAACATGTCACATTGAGCCTTCAGGCCTTAGTTCTCTAGACAAAACAACTTTTTCAAGACCTGGGGTGATGTGTGTCTTTTGAGTAGGGCGTAGAATGGGTGGCATGTTTAAGGTGTTTGTATATGTGAGGCAGTATGTAGCTCTGAGGCAGTTTTTCTACAGTGTTTTATCTCTCTTGACAGTTAAAACTTCCTTTGCTTGCTGTTTTCGCGGCAGCTTTTAGCTCAAGTTAAAATACAGGCTTTGACATAGGCTTATGTATGTATTCATTGCTTGCTGTGAATTAATGTTTACGGACTTTGGTACAACATGGTCAGTTATGTATAAAAATATCATTTCCAGTTTCTGGCACCCTTACAAGCAGAAGACCGGATCTGGTATCCGCTTTACTGGCATTTTGTAATGTAAAGGACAAATGATCTCACTATCTAAACACAAACATTTGTTGTTTTTCTTACCTTGACTGTAGTTGCTCGATCAAGGCTTTGAACATTTTCTAACATAGTTTGACGTCCATTAGGACCTTCAAAGATCTCTCTTCTCAAGGTTGTTGAGCATGCGGTTGTGTGTAGAGGTCAATGCAGTAGTTTTTGTAATCGTGTTTTAACCTTTTTGATTCATTTTGTATAATTAATTTTTAAATAATTAGTAATATTCAAAACATATTCCATTGAATAGCTGTAAGAAAACTAATTAGCTGTAAAGAACGCAATCATGTACATTACCATTCAAATGTTTGGTGTTAGTAAGATTTATTTTACATTGTTACTAAAGATACATTTCAAATATATGCTGGACTTTCTATTCATCAAAGAAGCCTGACAAACAATTTCATGGTTTCCACAAAAAATATTAAAAAGCACAACCGTTTTCAACATTGATAACAATAATAATAAATCAGCACCAAATCAGCCTATATTAGAATGATGTCTGAAGGATCATGTGACAATGAATACTGCCGTAATGTCTGCTGAAAATTCAGAAAACGGTTTATAAAAAATATTTTTTAGAATATATTATTTCAAAGTATAATTGTTTTTTTTTAGCTTTTTAAATCAAATAAATGGAGCCTTGGAGAGTAAAGACTTACATTAAAAAAATCTTACTGACCCCAACTTTTAGCGTATCTGTACTTGTTAAGGTGTGGTCTGGTGGTTTTAGCCAATTAAACTTTAATTGGTGTCTATAAGCTAAAATACAAGACCAAAATCATCCTTTTTTTAACCAGGCGTAAATTAACAACTGTTGTCAGTATGGGTTAAAGAAAATATGCCCTGACAAACCTCCTGAGAAACCATGAAAGATTAGAAAAGAGTCAATGGGTGTGGCGCAACATAATCTTACTTTAAAGAAAAGCTTTAGTCTGATTTCACTAAACATGGTTGAACAAGTTGAATAGCCACAGCTTTTCTTTAGCGCTCTATACCAGTACTTTACTTTATGGTAAAGCTCAGGGTTACTCCTAATGACAGAGATCCCATTCAGAGTTTACATGTGAGAAGAAGAAGAAAAAACTCTTCAAACTGTTCAAAAGACAGGTGTACTCTTAAATGATATGACCTGTTTGAACAAAGACACCTTTATGTTATTCTCAGGGTCATAATAGTGTAAATTAATGCACAGTTTGTAATGAGTCAGTTGGTGATTTGCAGATTATGACACAGATTATATGTTAGAATGATTGATTTTTAAACAAACAAACTACTTTTTTTCAACCTAAGGTGGTGATTTAACCAGTGATTCTAGCTAATCACTTTCCTGTAAGGACCTTTGAGATGCTGAGGGTCCAGTCTGCTCTGCTACACTGCTGAAGTCATGACTTTTGATTCCAGATAGCGTTATTTGCATTTCAAGGCAGCATTCTGGAGTAAAACTTTCTGGATGTTATAAGTTTGTCACGAGTCACCCTTTGGAGCCCCGCTTTGTCTATTACTACAAAATTTTGTGCTGTCACATGTAGTCATGAATGACATTGTTTGTTGTGTCAAAATAAACCTTGTTCCTCCGTCTGAGTTCAAATCACGACACTCAAGAAGTGAGAAGTGGGACTGCTGAATCTACTTTCTGATGGAAAATTCAAACTGTGTCATGGATCGCTGATGTTGATGTTTTTCTTCATCCTCTTTATCTCTGAATCAGTCAAAACGTCAGTCAGCATTCAGCTTTTGTGTTCTTTCTTCCCTACATTTTATTGAAACTCAGCTTAAACATTGAGTTTAACCTCTTTGAACAGACACAGCGTTTTCTGGGCCTTTGGTGCTCTCTCTTGACCTCTGACTCCGTTTCATTCACAGGAGATCACACTGGCTGAGAACAGTAGAGTATTGGAGGGCTGGATCAATCCACCACCACCTGTTTACATGCAGTATTTCTTCTTCAATGTTACCAACCCAGATGAGTTTTTGGCTGGGAAGGAGAAGCCCAAAGTCACTCAAATAGGGCCATATACCTACAGGTGATTTACACATCTTTATATGTGATGATTTACCCGTCTTGAAATATACTCTGTATTCAGATGTTCATTTTCATGATTCTGGGCCGTCTGTAGTGTTTTGTTTTCTAAACGATAATGTGTTGTCAGTAACAACAAGTTTGGCACCTAATTCTAGAAATGACTCATGCTTTTAGTAGATGGAAAACGGGAAACGTTTACCTACCCACTTTAAACTAAATGTCAAATATTTATCATGCACTTGTAAAATTGTTATTATTTGCAAATATTATGTGTTTGTTAAAGAAATTAATACATTTATTCATCAAGGATGCATTAAAAAGATCAAAAGTGACAGTAAAGACATGAATAATGATAGAAAAGAGTTTTGTTTCAAAAAATGCTGTTCTTTTGAACTTTCTATTCATGGAAAAATCCTGAAGAAATTTTTCATTTAAATATTGATAATACTAAGGAGTGTTTCTTGAGCAGCAAATCGGCATATTAGAATGATTTCTGAAGGATCATGTGACACTGAAGACTGGAATAATGACTGCTGAAAATGCAGCTTTGCCATCAAAGAAATAAATTACATTTTATATATATATATTAAATTAGTAATCTTTTTTTTTTTTATTGTAGTATTTTACAATATTGCTGTTTTACTGTTTTTGATCAAATATATGCAGGCTTGATTGTAAATCTAAATAAAATGCTTCTTTCTGTTATCAGGGAATATCGACCCAGGGAAAATGTCACTTTTCTTGAGAATGGGACGAAAATCTTTGCCACAAATCCCAAGAGCTTTGTGTTTCTTCGCAACATGTCATCGGGAGATCCTGAGGTTGACCGTGTGATAACGGTTAACATTCCATTCATTGTAAGAAGGGTTTTGTTTTGCATTGGCAACAAATAATTTAGCATTTAAATTTAGTCTGCCCATGGCATTTGTTAAACTGATTATCTTTGATCCAAATGCAAAGAATTTGCTCTGAATTCTTTCCCTCTTGTTTCAGGCCGTGATGAACGAGTTAAACTCCTACTCCTTCTTTCTGAGGTCTGCTGTGTCTATGTGGATGGGATCCATGGGCATCGAGGTGTTTATGAATCGCACAGTCCATGAGGTCCTGTGGGGTTTCAAAGATCCGCTGCTGTCCAAACTCCACGCCATGAGACCAGAAGTAGATGAGCATTTCGGCCTTATGTACAATGTAAGAATCTGCAGTTTCATCATATTCAGTGCTTTAATCAGTCTAAATGGAGATCAAATGTGGTCTAAATGGGTCATATATTTGTGCAACCAACAGCACACACACACAACCTCTAAAGCACATATACGATCAGAACGGGATAAGCAAATGACGTTATCATTGTCGTAGACTGCAGATGTTGTCCAGTGTATCAGGCTTGACACAGTGGCCTGGTTTACTCTAATGGGTTTTAGGCTTTCTTCAGGGATTATATATGTATTAGATTTAGGACAGATATTAAAGATCTGCAGTTTGTGCAATTGTAGGTATAATGTCAGTGCCTTGAACCAGCGAGTAAGCAGTTTACATTAATAAAACATTTAGTCTTTCACTCTGCATTCATATCATGGCCGCCAAACTACCTATTTTTGTACTCTTTGATGACTTTCTAGTCATCTTTCCCCTTCTGTGACTTATGTGATGATTTTCTGCTAATGGCTGTAGCATTATATTAAATTCAGTTTATGTGCTGACCACAGAAAAATGGAACCCATGAGGGTGAATTTGTCTTCCACACTGGAGAGAAGAACTACATGGACTACGGCAAGATTGACACGTGGAACGGCATCAGGTACCTCAATTGCTTGCGTAATCCGCATTGGCTTACTGACATAGTGAGAATTCTTGCACACTCACTTGGCGTCTGTTCTCCTACCTTAGGAAATTGGGTTAAACACACAGCATGCCTGCATTAGATGCTAGTTAAAGTCAATATCAAAGTATAAAGTCCTAGAAAAGAGCTCCTGCGCTTCTCAGTTACCCCATATCCTAATTTCAATTGACCCATATCCCAATAAATACAACTTCAAATCTCTTCTTTTGGAATAAAAATCTCTTAGGAATAATTGCGCATATATATATATA